TAGTTTTGTTCACACTCAGGAAATAAACAAAAGTAAATTAAAATTGTTTAGCCATAGAAACACTGTCCTGTCTAGAGTGATTGACCATATTCTTTTCAAGTGAATAAAAATCAGAGTGGATGTGCTAAGGGATAATTAAGAGCTTGAAAGAAGGGATAATTAACAGCTTGAAAGAATGAATGTTGTTTGTAAAGATTTTCGCCAGTTGACAGAGTTCTCCATAAATATCTGTTAAGCTGCTCTTCAAACTTCTTAAGGTTCTTCTTTAATACAATGCCCAGAGAGAAATGAGGAATGATGGAAAATCTTGGATTCTGTCACTATGAACAATATTCTCTCATCATGTCCCCACATGTTCCTCTTTATCTTCTGTCTGCATTCACTTGTCTTTTTTCCCCCCTCATGGTTAGGCTGCATAGCTTTTGAGCTCCCCTTCTCCTTTCTGTTGGCCCAGTGTGTGTCACTCGGGAGACTCACTGTCCTTCTGTGACTCACTTCTTTGTGCTCCGGAGTGCAAATACAAAAATGACTCGTTATCCTTTTCATACAGTACATAGTGAGGCTGGGAAGATCAGTAGCTGCAGATTATCACTATGGCTAAACTTTTGGAGAGTCTAGAAATGGTGTATTTATGTTGCATAGTAAGAATGCCTAGGGTTGCGTTATTTCTAAGTAGAAAAAGTTTTCTTTTTAGGTTTAGATAAACCGTGTTCTTCAGGGGATGGGTTGATCATCTGATGGGAAGAAGTGCACTTTTTGAGAAGGACATCTGTCAGCTTCCTACTACACAGTGTTTTGCAATGCTGTCTGAAACAAAGGTTAGTGAGAACTTCAACTAAAATACATTGCAGGAGGGCCCAGCTCTGAGTCACACTATTTCCTCTTTTGCAATTCAACAAGGACTTTGCTCGGAGTCAAGCGTGATTGTGATTCTCTGGAGTTTTGGGACAGGACCTTAGTGCTTGGCAATAAGGAATCAGACAATTTCATTATACTGTGAAGCAAAATTGCATTTTAAAATGTCAGAAACATAAATGAAATTAAATTACTACTTATAGTTAGTGGTACCTTAAGGAGCTGGTGCCAGTTACTTGTAGAAATATGTTATTGGATTAGGTGGATCATTGATCTGATCAGTTGTGGCAGTTTGTGTATTACTGTCAAAAACCTGTTGTTGTTCCAGGGGAATTATTTTTAATTCTTGGAAGGGTATTAAAAAAATGACATGGAGAGGTTGAGATAAGGAAGCTAGTTCTTGACTTGCTTTGAAGGCAGTCTGCTGTCTTGCCTAATAAGCTTTTAACGTTGGAATGGTTAAATTGGGAAACCGGCCAAGAACAAAGGGAAGAGAATGTAACATCCCTAGTCCTAGGGCTGGTGGTTCATAGTGTGCTGGAACTGGCAGGTCCCAGTAACAGAGCTGTTACATCCCATTAATTAAGGTGCTGTTACGTTAAAAAGTTACTGTCATTAACTGTTTTATTTTTTTGCAATCCATAATTCTGCAAAGAGTTGTAACATTTTTCAGTCTGATGTCTTCACTGCTACTTTCTGCTTCTTAGTGAAGTACAATTTTCAAATATTGTGTGTTCTAAAGCAACAATTTGCAGAAGATCAATGTAACTGATGAGGTCTTGGTGCCTTATCATTTTATCTGGTTAAAATATGTTGGAAGATTATCTGTCTTGTTTAGGTGCGTAGTAACACAGTGCTGCCTAGGAGACATAAAGTGTATGCTCGCTCTCTCTCTCTCTCTCACACACTCATATTTGTCAGGATTAGTGCTAAATTCCCCCAGTTGTATTTAGTAATGCTTGTGATTCTTTTGTGCTTTGTGACTGAAAACTCATCATAACTGATGCCTAATCTGCAGCTTTGATTTGGGTTCTTACTGTAATCACATTTTAAACGTGCACTGACCCTGTTTGAAGGGTCCTTAAAAAGTTGTTTTTTCACTAGAGATCTGGATTTTAAAGTTGAAAACAAAATGTTGAAAGCTGCTGAAATGGCACTCTATCTAATTCAGTCTTCTTTTCCTCAGCCTTACTTGCCACAAAGGAGAGGGCACGTCCCAATTCAGTCGTTCACCTGGCTGAAAGCCTGAAACAGATCTTAAGCTGAGCCTTGCACTTCCACTCTTCTGTTGCTTGTGGATTGCTTCTGTGCTTTTTGTTTCTGTTTTGGTTCAGGTAGAATTTGAAAGGAAAGTGTCCCTCGGAGAAGCAATACTTGTATTGCATAAACTGGGACAAGGGAGGCCAAGTCACTGGATTTGTAGATCTGTGCTGCCACTGGCAACTTGCTTATCCTCCTGTGCCTTAATTCCCACATCTGGGAAGTGGAGCTAACATTCTGCTTTGCAAACATAAGTGAAATCTCATGCCTCTTCCTCAAGGCACTTTGAATTTTTTTGGCAAGACATCTAGATGTGTACAATGGTGACAATAATTCCTTTGGTTAAGCATTTTGCATGTTGCGGATGTGGACAGTCTGTCTGGAGCAAGAAGGCACTCTGTTGCTGTGACGAATGAGAGTGAACTCAGGAATGCAACGTAGAGAAAAATCTTGATAGGTTTATCACAGTTAATTATTAAATGAACCTTGTATTAAAAACCTTTCTGCAAAATACATTCCTACTTTATTTCTATCATTAAAGAAGACTGTCTCCTCTGTACGGAGAAGAAAAATCTTAATGACTTCAGTAGAGAAACAGCCCACAAAGTTGAATATTTTGAGTCCACCTTTGTTTCTTTAAAACATGGATTTTGCTTACAGCTGATGAGGAAAAAAGTTCTGTAAAAAGCAGATCTCCATAGTACCCCAGCACCTGATACCTGATGACTGTTTTAATTAGATTCTTGCCATCTGTGAAGGCCTATACAAGTTGCCCATTCTTGACTGATGAAGTGTAAAATGGAGATCTGTCATGCAAAGCAGCTTTCTCATACCAAGGTAGCCTTATCATAGAATCATAGAATCATAGAATGGTTTGGGTTGGAAAGGACCTTAAACGTCATCAAGTTCCAATCCCCCCTTGCAAGTTGCCCTTGGTGTTTGCCCCTGCCCTTTCTACCTCTTTGCTGGTTTCTTGTGAAGCAGTGGCTGTTAACGGAAGTATTGTCTCTGAAAATCGAGAATGAGGAAATGTTTATTGTCTGTCACTGATTATTTATTCATTTATTTATTTCCTGAATGATTCCCAGCCAGTCACTTAATCCCTTTATAAACTGGCCATTCATCTCTGAAGTCAAGGCTCTAGGCTGGCTGCCTCACTGGACCCTGTGTGCAGAAGCATCTGAGCTGCTCAGCCTTTCCAGCATTGTGGACAAAAAGAAACTAGAGGTCTGGTTACTCTCTCCAATGTGGTCTTGCCTTTCCTGGGCAAACCTGTCCAAGTTCCTTTATTCTGCTGCTTCAATTATTTTTTTTTTCACCTTGAAAAAAAAAAGGGGAAATATATTCTCTTGTTTTCACAGGATTGTTATAAGGAAACTTTTATCAGTGCTAGTGAGCCATGGTGTAGTAGTATAGTGGGACGGCAGGAACTGCACCTGCCTCTTCTTATTTCTACAGTCTATAAGCTCAAGGAGCTGCGTGGACTGAATACGTACCAAAATCTCAGGGTTTCCCTTCAGTAGTTTGAAGATTTTGTTTGAAGAAGTATGCAATGTTTTATATGTGGAAGTTTTGTCTACATAAACCTTAATGTGAAAATATGGTGGGGGATACTTCAGGAACATTTTTTTTTCATTTTCATTTGTAAATACAATTTTGAAAGCCCTCCAACTATCCGTCTCATTTACTCAGAGCTTCCACTGACCTTTTAATGTGGTAGGAACCTCACCAATCCTATGACTATGTACACTGCAGACTGTGTACAATTTAGGTTTTGAGCATGCTAGAACCTAGATACCAGATGTGTTTTATTCTCATCTACTAAATTTGTGCAGTGCTAAAAAATTCTGCAATTTAAAGACTAGTTAATAAAAGCATTTAATGACCAGGAGTCAAATTGTGCTGTTGTCATTCATTACAGGGTATTCTTCTGTGATTACTTCTGCTCTGAATAAATGTCCAGAAATGTGTAGTTTCTCACAAATTGTACTAGAGGACAGGCATTTATGTTCTATAAAAACAGTGATTCTACGAAATTCACTCACACAGAGTGCTGTGCTTGGCTGACATAAACTTTCAAATGGCCTCATCTTGTAAGCACAGGCAAATCTAAAGTACACATTAAGTGGAGAATTGGCATTTCACAGAGTCACAGAATGTTAGAGATTGGAAGGGACCTCGAAAAATCATCTAGTCCAATACCCCTGCCAGAGCAGGAACAGTGTTTCTTGTTCTCCAGAGTTTAGAGCTTTGTTTTACAATGTCATTCAGTCTTTGAGGGTGCATTCTGGAGATAATAAAGCAAACAGGATGATCAGCAGTAACAAATTTGTGGGTTATAACCTTAGAAGCAGTAGGTTATTTTGCACTAATGTGTTTTTCCCATAAAAGAGATGAACTTTTTTGCTGGTTTATTGGGAATATTTATTATCATCCTGCATTGTATCTGCCTTAAAGTCGGACCCCCACTCTTGGCAAACACTGTGTAGAAGCAGCAAAATAGGGAGCCTGTGCCCTGAATGTATTACTGTTTAAGCATCAATATTGCCAGTGGAACTTAATTTAAAATATAAATCTTGATCTTGAAGCAACTAGGCATTTTGTAGTTGATCTGAGAAGAGCAAAGGCTTCACTAATTACCTTTTTTTTTGCTAGAGATTCAACAGCTGCTTGGAATTTAGTTTTTTTAAGTTGTCAACGTGTCATTTTAGATAGAACATAGAGAACAGAGGATATGAACTCAGCCCTGCTCTTTGCTTCCTCTCACAGCGTTATTCAAACACTGTTCTTTTTATCTGAAAATAAGTGGTATATTGGCATAAATACCTTCCAGTTGTAAATTCTGCTTTTTAAAATTGAAAACTGTCTTTTGTGTGTTTCTTCAGGCCTATCTGGAAAGATTATAAAAGCCATCATAAATGAAGGATTTCAGATCTCAGCTTTGCAGATGGTAGGTTTGCTTTTGTGTATGTCTTTCTGATAAACAGAAGTCAGAGAAGTGCTGTGTGCACTTCACAGCAATGCACAGGTGTTTTCCTGCAATACAAAACCCTTGTGCAGACTGTGTAGCAAGTTTTGGGATCAGCATTTGTGTTTATTATTTGATTGATCAGCTGATCTGTTTCTCATTGCTGGGTGACCTTGAGCCAAAACATTTTACCTTTCTGTATCTCAGTTTCCCTATAGTTAGGAGGAGGATAATAGTATCTGTGTCTTCTGGAGCAATTTGAGATATCTTTACAAAATGTACTAGCTAAGATTAGATAAATGATTGTTAATAACCTTCCTAATTTTTTAAAAAATATATATTTAGTGTGAATTTAGGGGAAGGTTTTTAAAGACATGAAAAGGATTTTGACACCCTGATCAACCTCAGCAGTATAAGGAAGTTGTCACAGAGACTATTCCCAAGAGTAGTCCTGTAAGCCCTGCCCTTTGATTTTTGTGAAACTCTCGAGATCTGAAGTCCTCCCGTGACTCAAATCCCCACCACACACCTTTTCTTTACTGTGCAACAAACACATACTTTTGCATGTCTTAGTAGCATCAGTCAACACTATGTTGTCTCCTTATATTTGAGGTGGAAGAAGATACTGTGTGCTATGATGCCTGTGGCATCATTGGCTAAATTGTTGACAAACTTCATATTGCAGCTATCCAGCCATTCCTTTTACTTAGTTAAACTTAAAAGAGTATTCTGAATGTTTACTGGTTAAAGAAGGGGTGTGTCTGTGTTTTTTTGTTGTAGTTGTTTAAGGCAGACTGGCTAACATTTTTGTTTTCTTAGTTCAACATGGAGCGTACAAATGTGGAAGAATTTTACGAGATTTACAAAGGTGTCGTTCCTGAATATGTGGTAAGCATAAGTTTGAGAAGAATCGGTTTAGAAATAAAATATGATTAAACAAGGTAGCGGTCACATCTTTCCTTTTTTTGGGATTGTGATAGGATTTCTTTTAGGAACCTGATTTTGACAAGTTCTAGCTTGTCTCAAATAAACTAACTCATCTTGAAAATTGTGCTATCTATGTTGTAAGAAAGAAGAACCTTTTGTGAAAATTATTTAGCCAAGGGATTTGTAAAATACGACAGAGTGAAATAAAACTCCCTCAGATAAGTTATTTTATAGTGGTAGGGCAATGAGAATGTGGCACATGTTTATGTTTGTTTGATTTGATATTGCAGTAGTGACTTGGACCGGAATATATATTTATTATTTTGTTCACAATGGGGCTGCTGAATTTTAGTGCTTTCCTAGTGACATTTTGAGCTATTAAGTTTATTGATCTGACTTTTGTAGATTTTCAGAAAATTTAAGAAGTTCAAAGTACGCTGTAATCCCAGTGGACATCTACGACTCTATATATTATTATACCTTGTTGTACTGTAACATAAAATTTCCTGACTGCAGATAGAACAATGGGGATATAAGAAGACAAGCTTGCATTTCTGTATCACCTCTGTCAGAGGATTTTGGTTCATTGTACAAATAGTAACTGCCATGCTATGTACTATGTAAATTATCCTTAATTTTTAAATGGTTGAATTATTAAAAGTTTTCTACACAATTACAAATATTACTCCAGACAGTTACTTATATTACTCTGATAATGACACTTTTTTTTTCTGTTTTTCCCCCCTTTATGATTCTTTAGTCTAATTTACTAAAACAGGGTTTGTAGATTTGTCTTTAAATAGTTTAGGAGCACTGTTAGTTCACCCTCAGACTGGGGAATACTCTTAAAAGTCTCCTCTAATAACACTGTTTTTGACAAGGATCAAAGGAAGATTGGACAGGCAGACTTGTAGGTATGTGACAGAATTCAAATATAGTAATATCTTACCAGTATTTCAGGGTCTAAAGAATCCTGTGATACTGCAAAAATCTCTGCTTTGAACCAAGTTGGAAATTCTCTACCATCTTCTTTTGGACAATCTCTGACCCCCTAATAAGTTGCAAATTTTAGTTATATAATTGGAGAGTTACTCAGAAGGGAAAGTGACATTTAAACAGGGTAAGTCAATAAATAAGTTATGTTTTAGATGGGATTTGAAGAAAAGTGATAATTTAAGGCTCTGTCCTGCAAGCCATATGTGCTGGATGCACTCTGTTGAAACTAATATCTCTGTGCACTTAGGATATCTGTGAAACAGGAAAATGAAGGAAAGCTAATCGTGATGGTAAAGGGATCCAGAGAAGGCACATATGAGAACAGCAATAGATATTGTCAGTGCAGGCCAAATAGGAAGACGTGTACTGCGAAATAGGATATTGAAGAAAGAATATGACCTCTTATATCTGTGACTCAGAACCGTCTGTTTTGATCTGAATTTTATTTATCATCTCAAAATAACTCAGCACAGAAGATACTTGGCATCCAGAAATCCTTTTCAAAAACAGTATTCCCATTTCTTCTGGTTACCCCTTGTCAGTCAGATAAAGGCTTCCCTGTGAAAAGAGAAAGCTGAACAGTTGCCAAAAATTTTAGCTTTGTTGGTATCTCCTCCATGGGATTTTGCATACTATTGATCAGTTTTTGTGCTGTTTTGCTTTGTATTTCCTACTGTAGCCAGAATAGAAAATGAGGGGAAAAGGACAGAGATTATTTTGAGTCTGCTCAGAATCTACCTTGTTAATCAAAAGTGCTTGAGCTTGATTCAGCTCCAGGAATGGTCTTGGTTTACAACAAGCCATATTATTTGATGAATAAACTATTAGCTAAAGAAAATTTGATTTAGCCGTAACTGGCAGTCTTACCAGAGAAACAGGGTCTGCTATTTAAATTCAACTCTGGACTTGCTGAGGCTGAGTAAGGTAGACCAAGCTTGTCTCACATAGTACGACGTGCCTCTGTGCTGCAGTTGATGGCAGCTGTTCTTCAGTCCTCAGCTTTGTGTTGTGATGAAGGAGTCAGGAGTAACTTTGCTCACGTTGTTTGCTGTTGCTGGTGGGATGTCAGTGCTGATACAGAAACAACAGAAGAGGGAGGAACAAGAAAACCACAGTTTGCAGGGGGAATTCCATTGATTCAACTAAAGTTAAAAGCCTGTTTTTTCTCCGCTTTCCTGTTAACAGTTATTTAGATGACAGAATTCAATAAAATTGTAGTAACTGTTACTGTTTCTTAACAGAATGAAATCTATTGCCCTTTGACTTGTTCTTAACAGAGGATCCATTGGTGATAAGACAGTTTTTGGAATTAAAATGTTTATTCATGTTGTAGGCATGAAACTAGTCTGCACTCTTTTCGTGTCCTCTCAGGAATACTTCTACCTACATTTCCTAGGATCAGGTTGATGATAGAAGCACTTGGCTAAAATTCTGCCCCATTGACTTCAGAGTGGGGAGATTAAGCACATACCCTCAGTGTGGAATCCTTTATGAAGATACCAACTCTTTGGAACAACACTGCTTGACTTGTAGTCTTTGTGTATTTAGTTTCCACCACAGTTCATAAAAGGCAGGGAAGGACTTAATCCTTCTTTTTCTACTGCTTTTTTGCCCAGTCTGTATGCTCTTGTTCTTTGCTACGGCTCATCCTTGACCTTCCCGTGGCTGGTGGGTGTGATTGCAGTACCTTGCTTGTCCTCCCTTATTTCTTGTGAATGTTTTTTCCTTTCCCCTTTCCTCATTGGTTTTGATTCTTTTAGTTGTCTGGCTTTGTTTAAAACTTGTCTGCCCAAAATTCTAGACAAGTATGCAATTATAAGGGCATGTTTTTAAAAAGGAAGTTGGACAGAACATCAAAATAGGTTCTTTCTGCTTGTGAAACCTATACCTCTAATTAACAAACTCCCAATTGCCACTAGTGCCTAGAGTTAATTTAAGCTCATGAAAACTAAGACCCATCTTCATCACCCACTCAGAACTCATGATGTCTCTGCACTCTCCAGGAGGCTCCAGGGAAACAGATGTTTTTGGTGTAACTGAGATTCTGGTAACAGTACACCACAAGAATGTTGCCAGATCAAGGACCCTTTCCGTAAGAGGTTGCGCCACAGGCCACTTGCAATTCTGTCCTGCTGGCTTGTGTGTTTCAGCTTCTGTATTAATAGATGAGGAAAAGACAGTGAGAACCAAAAGCCCAAGAGACATTTTAATGACTTAAAGCCATCAAACGGGTGTGTATTTGGAAACAAATATGGGCTGTGTACTGTGCTCCCTGTAGGGAACATTGCAAAGTACATTGCTGCCTGTGGAACTGGCTGAACAGATCTGATTTTTCAGGCTTGTACCCAGCAAAGTGTATTCCATTGATTCAGTCTAATTTGATGAGTTATGGGATACTTCTATGAAATCCAGGTCTAGATCAATAAGGATGTACCCATAGAAGAATTTGAAGTATTATGGTTGCTGTTGCGTGCTGTTCGGTATCCTGTTGAAGCTGAATATCCAATTTACCTCAATTTCCTACCTTCTTAACGAAGTAGCAAAATGGGAAACTTTATTTTGTTGTGAATACTACTGACATCTTTGTTTCATGTCTTTGTCTTCCTAAATGCACCAATATTTATTGTTCCTGTCCTGTAAGTTTGGATCTAGTTTGGGGGAGGAATACAACCCTTGCTACTGCCCAAAGAAGCTCAAATTTGTTTCTGTCTTTTTTCTCTTCCAGGAGATGGTGACGGAGTTGTGTTCAGGTCCTTGCATAGCAATGGAGATTATACAACCCGAGACTCCAAAAGTGTTCAGAGACTTCTGTGGTCCTTCTGACCCTGTAAGTACTTGCTTGAGTGATAAGGAACACTTAAAAAGTCAATGCGCTGTCTACGTGAGTTAAAATATTGCAGTGTGGTATGGCTGCTACGTACCTGCCTTGGAATCATGTAAGCATTACCACCTTATTATGGAGGTCAAATGCTATTCTTAGTGGTCCAACTTGCAAATCCTCTAACTAGTCTTTTGATGTTAGCTAAACTAGAGGATAAAATACTGTGATGATATTTATGTGAAAGGAAAGCTATCTAGGCAAAAATCACTGTTGAAGATTCATAAATATTCTAACAGAAGGCTTCAGAGCCCTGGAAATAGTTATTGGTTGTGCATGCCTGTGTAAATCAAATGTTAGTCTGCTGCAGTCTATGACATTCTCCTAGCATGAAACTGTAAAAGGAGAATTTGTTCCTTTCTTTTTCAGAAGGTCACAAACAAAAAAGGGTGTAGAAGTTCTCGTACCTGTTCACTATGCTAATGCCTTCTAGCCTTTATTTTTCATTTCTTGAGGTGACTAATTGGATATGTGTGATAGTGTGTGCAATTTGGAGACAAGCTTAAGTGCTGTCTCAAAAAGTTTGCAGTTTTTTGTTAAACGAAGGCTACTACCACACAGGAACCGTGAGGTGAGATATAAAGATGGAGGCAATGAGGTCAGGGTTTGTATGTTTTTTTGGTTATGTTCTGATGTTTTAGTTGCAGACTGGGTGGTTTTACCAGTTTCCATGGAAAATATTCACACAGATTAATATTTGAAGGGGAGAACAAGTTGTTCAGGATATATTTTTCTTCAGATCCAAAGTTTCCATTACAGAAAGCATAAGTTAAAGGCATTATCCAAACCTTTTTTCCCCTTCTGTTTGGTAACATTCAAATGTTTCTCCGCTGGGTTAGCATCTTGTAAGCAGAGCATAACCTGTTTATCTGACTTAGTTTTAACTGAAAGATGTTTTTAACTATCAGTAGTAGTGTAGACAATATGGTAATTTACGTTTTGTTTCAAATTCCATGTTTAACATTTCTGGTGTTCAAAACTTTCAAAGATGCAGTGGTTTTATCTGGGCCCATTATATCCTTTTCGTGTTTCTGCTTGTTAAATGTCTGTTATGTTAAAATCAAAATATGCTTGCAAACATCAAAGCTGGTTTAGATTGTTAAAGACAAGTGTGCCTATACAGGGGCCATTTCTCTATTTTCTCTTACTACATCACATAAAAAGCTCTGTCATAGCCATACAATGTGTGTGTGAATAAAGGAATTGTTGATGAGCTGAGTGAACTGAGGGATGTATAAACTGATGGCTTCTGTGGGTAGCACAAGAAAACAGCAAAGGAGGGAACTAAATTCCTGTCTCCCAGACCTCTTGCTAGTGACCTGCCTATGCTGTTTGTGTTTCCATTTTAATGGCTAACTGTGTGACTTGTGAAGTGAAAATGAGTACCTGCCTGCTTCTACTGGAAGCAAGCAGCTGTACGTTTTGCATGCTGACTTCATAGCAGTTACACTAATGGCATGTTTGGAAGACAGGAGGCTGTGTTATATATTTCTGTCTACTGTTTTCTGTAAGAATTGCAAATTAATTGATTCTTCAGGCACATAAAGCATCTGTACAGTAACTACAGCTGCTCTCAAGAGTGATCTTTGCCCGAAATTTACTTGTTTCTTCAGATAGCATTTGTAGCTTGTCCTTGAGGAAGGAGGGACTAAGGTATCTCAGTGGTCTTTTGTCATTCCCCACTGGAGTTGTCAGAGAAGCTCACAACTGAACATTTTGGTTACAATATCTGTCTCAAATAGGAGTATCAGAAACCGTAACAGCAGTTTCATTGTCTAGCAAAGTTATAGACAGACTGTGAAGATACCCTGGAGTTCATATTCAAGTGGTTACAGTAAATCTAAGTGTCATGCGAATAGTGCATTATCATTGAGAGATCTGAATCTCTCTGTAACTTGTTTGTGTGTTTGTTTCTATATGCTGGATCCTGATGTGTGTGCAGCCTGTTTATAGACAGAGGTGAAGAGCAAGTTTACTACAAAATCTACCTGATTGGTTCACTTTGGCTCCTGTTAAATAGTACTCTATTTGGCAAGTAGTGCCATTGAAATCACTGTGATTATTCTCAAAGCAAGGTGCTGTTTGAAGTGAGTAAAGGTGTTGGAATTTGACTTATATAATGATTCTCTCCCAATCACGTGTGCTGTTAATGATCTCTTAGATACATAGCAAGTGTAATAATTAGTTTGTGGCAAGTCAGATATTTAAACTGGGTATGAATGTTAACAGCCCTTTCAGTCTGTTCTCGGTTTTGCAGGGAGATGGTTGCAGTACTCACCAATAAAAGGCAACCAAGAGAGGTGATGCAAATTTTCCCAAATCCAAGTGAGATGTCATTTGGAAATAGGTCTGGTTTCGCCCAAGTCCCTGATGTTTAGGCCTGAAGAAAAAATTAGAGTTGTTACATTTTGAGGATTATACTTTAATAAGCTAGCAATTTATACCAAATGTACAATGCTAAAAATGAAAGGGGACTTTGTGCTATTTTCTGTAACTGGGTAATATTTTGTTAGCACTGCAGGTCAGTAAAGCTCTCTGCCAAAAATATCCTTCATTATAAAACAGCTTATAAATACTTATTAAAACCTCTCATGTGGTAGTAGGGAAGACTACTAACCAAAACCAGGTTGTGAGCCTCGTTGTGGTAGTGTATGAACAGCCTATGAAATCTGGAAAGCGAGCGATAGGATAAAGATATTTATCTGTAAGGAGCTGCGCTGGACATGCTCACTCTCAGAATTACTGTGACCTGATTGAAGAGCTCAGTGTCACCGGTTGCAGGCTTGTGGAACATTTGTCCCCGGTAGATAGTATAGGCACTAGGAGAAATGCTTTTCTGCAGATCTTGCTGCTGCTTTGCATTCTTGTTGTACACTGGCACTTTTCTAGTGAGTGGCCGGCTGGATCATTGCATTCTTAGTGAACTGTCAGCGTCTTTAGTTACACTTGGGTTAAACTCCTGGAGTGCAGCTGGATTGCTGGCCTCATCTGAGGCCTTTCTCTAATCTTTGAGATCAGCAGTGATACTGGTTTTTCTTGTTGTCTGATTGCAGCTTCTAGCTGAGCTGTTCCTCACAGCCAGGTCCCAGACTACTCGTGTGACTTGCTCTTGGTGTCGCTCTGCACCTCATTCTCTCTGTCCTGGAATGCCTCTGTGGCTAATGTGTAGGGCTTAGAAACAGGTATTTACCTTTTGCTTATTGTTGCAGCATCCCTGTAAGAGGCCAGCAGCTGTTCTGATGCCCATCTTGAAAATACTGTTTCTTTAAAATGTTAATAAGGACTGTTTAAAAAAGGTCTCTGAATTCCACCAAGACTGTAGCTTTTCAAGGAGGGAAAGCACTCACAGCCTCTGCTATGCACCCAAAGCTACAAGGTTTGAGATATTGAGATCCTATGAGCAGCTGAGCACTTCTATTTGAATATTTAAATTTCAAATAGGAATGAGATTTCTGAAATGACTTTGAATTCCACTGATTTTCCATGGTTTGTCTAAATCATTTAAGCCCTTTTTCAAAATATACTCTAACATCTTGTTATGCAAGTTGTTAAGTTATGTTTTTCATGCTGGGTGCTATTTCACTCTGTTTCTACTGGTGCAGTTCTGACATTGAGAGAAAAAAAATCACACCTATGGGAAAGAGGTAACTGTTCTAGAAAGCTAGGAAGAGGAGTTTAAAAGTTAATTAAGTCAGATTAGTACAAAACGCAAACCTTTAGAACTTTTGGTACACTATCACTTAGAAATAAAAGTTGCTAACTGCAATCAAAGTTCAACAGAAAAGAAGCTATGTTTCTTCTTCATTGTACAGAAATGAAAGTGCTTGGAGGAGTAGGGGTTAATGCAGCACAGTGTGCAATATCCAGAAAGCTGCTTTGTTTAAGTATAGTAAAAAAAAACCACCCTAAACTATTCAGCATTGATTTTACATTGTTTCACATGAATCAGGAAGCAAAGGCTATAATTGAAAACCTTGGAATAGGAGGATGGTGGCCAGGGAATCCTGTCGCTGCTTGAGCTTGCCAGCATCTATGTTTCAATTGATTGGTGTTTGTGTATTTTTGGCCTCTGGAGCACTTGGCCTCTGGAGGCCTTTTGTTATTACTTAGGTCTGAAGCTAGAGATGCAGTTTTCACATTCTTCATACAGCTTCTATGTTGAAATAGCTGCTGGCGACATTTTGTCATGGAATTGTTGAGGTGATTATGTAGTATTCATAAGACACTTGTAAAATGTTGCAGAAATTAGATACACTTTTTTTTTTTTTTTAAATTTACCTTTCTTTTGAACTTTCTTCATACAGAAATTAAAAGGTTTGTTATAACATGTGATTCCAGGAGTCTACATCAGCTACATGTTCCTGGCTGACTGCATAACTTTTAGTAGTCTTAAGAACTTTTAGTTAGGATTGGCAGTACACTACAAGTGACTCAAGTACCTTCTGCTGGGAGGTAGTATTGAAGTGATGGGACGTGCTGCAGTATTTCTGCATCTAGTGGGCTGAAAAGGGATTTTAATATACTTGCTTTAGGTCCTAACCTGCATTCTTTTTCCTTTGAGGATTTGCAATTTTAAGGGTAGCAGTGTATTAACAGTTTTAGTATTTTTGAATCAATGCCAAAGAGCTAAAAGGAAGATTAGATGGTTTAAAATAAAGCAGTGAATTGAAAGAGCTGGAGTCTGCTTTAGCTCCATTCCTGACCTCCCAGTGTAACCTTGGACAAAAAGTTCAATATGTTTCTGCCTCAGTTATCACATCAGTTAAATATGGATAACGGTATGAGCCAAAGAGCACTGTTGCTGTAAGATTTGTGTTTGCGTAGACCTCCTGTGAATCTCTAGCACGGAAAAATATCTACATGTGAGGCCAAAAATGTTCATATTCATTCCTAGAACTACATTAGCAGCATGACATTTTCATATTACATCGGATAAAAAATAGTTCAGT